TTTGTTTTTCTTCGGCTTCCTTTACTTGATTTTTATCCGTCAAAATGATATTTCGTCTGAAGAACTATTTGGAAATTAATGACCCTTCTTAAAACTATATGAACAAACTATGTTAGTCACATCGAGTGTTTTGTTACTACAAGGAATGTTTAAGTACTCATAATTCCTAATTTGAAAATTTTGCTCCTTCCCACTACTCTCCTGACTTAGTGAAATTGTGTAGCACACGGTGTGGAAAAGTTGTAACTACGTTGTCTTGGGTGGCAGAGATCGCTTTGTTTTCTTCAGGGTGTCCTATCAACCCACCTGACTATCAAAGATAAGTTTTCATGAATTTTATATATATATATATATATATATATATATATATATATATATATATATTAATAAATATACATTTTCCTCAGCGATAGTACGACTCAGTTTTCGAAGCACAGCATAATTTTCAGGTGATAAATTGGTTACTGACCGTTTTCATAATTAAAATTTTAATAAAATATATATATTAAAATTTGTTCTTAAAACACTGAGCACTGAGTGAAAATGCATATGCATATTTATTAATATTTACTTAGTAGCGCTGTTATCTTACATCGCACTATTTTATTGACACCAGCACTCAATGCATATATATATATATATATATATATATATATATATATATATATATATATATATATATATATATATATATATGTATGTATGTATGTATGTGTGTTTGTGCGTGTGTGTATGTGAGTATTCAGTCCTACTAATTCTTTTTCCAATTCATGGGAATATATTTTGGGGCTATTTTGATAAAAACAACTCTCTATTGTCGCAATGATGTGTTTCATCTACAATTTACAAAATATGTTTATGAAACAACTTTATTATCATTTTTATTTCAATGAATAATTATATCTTCAGTTCAAGTTTTTATTCAATGTATTTTGTAACGTAGATTATTTGCTATAATATTTTACATAATTGTAACACAATAAGTATTTTTATTCATGGGTGTAAACACCCCAGGGGAAAATCTATTTTAGGTGAGTAACGCAGGGTGAAATAACTATGTAGAGTGTGTCCTCTAGCGTTGGATGGGCGGACAATTCTGAAATCGAACCGCTGGAGAAAACGACTTTTTCCAATAAATAACTGAAATTTAGAGACAATAAAAAAATAACCTGTGATGCGACATAATGATCAAGGAGAATCGTGTTTAATGTTAATGGTGATATTAGCCGTTTCCATGCAGGGAACATTCGACATTCCTTTATATTCGGTATTAACGTTACTCTCAGTTCAAATTTATAAAATCTTTCACTTAAAAAAGTTTTTCAGGATAAAAGTCTTTCTAAGTCCACTGCTATCGATCTTTCATTATTGATAGGAGTTTTCTTTCTAATCTTTAAAAGAGTGTGTATATTCAAATTCTTTAATGTCATTATTTTCCCTTCTACATGAATTTCCAATCGATTTTAGTTGTTGCCGCTGTAGGGAGTCTTCACCAGTCTATACGATCTATGGAATTGTCGTTTCTTAAAAACCGAGTGTATTCATTCACATGTGACTTTTTTTAGTAATTGATCAGTTGTATATCGATCAGAGTTTATGGAATTCTGAATGAGCTGGAAACCATGCCAGTATGCGAAAGAAAAGAGAGAAAATTAAATGATAATAACAAAAAAAAAAAAAAAAGACAAGAAGAGCTAACCGGTTATCGCTCCTCATCCATCAGTACTCGATCGAGCATAACCGATTAAAAGAAACATGAAATAGACAATAAATCATATCAATAATATATTAAGATGGATATATATTTTAAAAGACAGATCAAATTCAGTCCCGGCCACCTTTACCTTGTTTTAAATTGTTATCTTTTCTCTCCGTTTTCGTGTTAAACTACCGTAGTTGTTTTCTTTTTTTAATTATGTCTCTTGCATTTTGAACATCTAGTAAGCTTTGCAGAGCTTTATTTAGACTGGGAAAAAAAGACTGTTTTAGGTTTGCTTTCGGTACCTATTGTCCTTAGTACTACCAGATGGAATTCTAATAGAGATACTTGCAGCTTTAGATGATTTCGGCATTGACAAGACTGCAGACATAATAAATGAAATATGCAACGGTTGTAATATACATTAGATCCATTTTCATAGCACTGCCTAAGAAGACAGTTGAAAACAAATGTGAACTCCATCGAACAATCAGTTTAATGAGCCATATAACAAAACTTATCATGCGAATCCTGATGAATTGAGCTCGCGGCAGAATCAGCCCGGAAATAGGACACAAACAGTGCAGGTTCGTTAAAGACAGTGGAATAAGTAATGGGATATTTATGTCCCAGAATGATATCAGAAAGAGCAATAGAAACGCAGAAGAATGTGTACCTGTGTTTTATAGATTATACAAAAGCGTTTAATAAAGTACGTCTCAAAGAATTGATGTAGCAGCTAGGTAACCTTGACATGTTTGGGAAGAATATTACAATAATTCATAACTTATACTAGCTGCAAACTTCCTGCATTTGGATAGAAAATCTCTTCACTAAACATACAAAAATAGAAAGAAGTGTAAGACAAGGGTGTGTCTTCTCACCGGATTTATTCAACTTGTACAGTGAGGCCATTCGAAGAGATTTAGAAATCCTACCAAGATGCATTATTCACAGCCACAATGTTAACATTACATATGCAGAAGACACATGTGATGATAGCAGATACAGAATGGAAACTAGAAGAACTCCTAAAGAATATAGAGAATGAAAGTGAGAAGTAAAGAAAGAACGTCAATTGCAAGAAGATGGAATGCAAGATTGTTAGCCAAAGGAACGCCCCCAATAATGTAAATATCCTGGAAGTATTTAACAGGATGGAAAGTGCAACACTGAAATCTGAAAAGAGCATTGGGATGGCGAAAGATGCCTTCCTAAAGCTAAGCAGAATTCCCTTAGGAAACAAAGAAAAGCGTAATGAAGTGTTATGTAATATCAGTCCTTCTATATGGCAGTGAATGCTGGACAACCTCCTGAAAAATGAAAAATGACTTGAAGCAAGAGTGTTTCTACAGAATGATACTGAGAATACTATAAACTGAACATATGCGCAAAACGAAGTGTTTGAGGAAAGGGAAACGAATATGGCACCCGTACTTAACATCAGAAAGAGATTTCTAGGGGGTATAATAAAGAAAGTGGGAATAGAAAATATTATACTCTTGGTACAGAATGACGGTAAGAAGGACAGAGGAGAAAAAAAAACTCCGAACCTACCTACTGAGTTTGAGGAAATTGATGGCGGAGCAAGGTTTAGGAGAAACAAGAAAAATCAAATTTTGTTAATAGTTACAAAGGACAGGAAATTGCGGAGGTCTATGATAGCCTACAACCTGTAGGGACAATGCACATAAAAGAAGAAGAAGAAGAGGAAAAAGAGCTATTTGTTGTGCTTGTTTTTTTTTTTTTTAACTAAAGTTTACCCACTTCTAGGCCCAAGAGCCACTTACAGTAGAGCTTGACCGAATGTCTGAGCGTAAGAAGTAGAGGTAAGATGTGTACTATATGAGGTCATATGAGAGAGATAATTATTAACACTAGATCTGAAGAGATTAAGATTATAGTGATCGGTATTGTTGTAAGCTTGTTCCACAAGGCAGAGCCTATCCGAATTGAATTTCCTTCTTATAAGGGAATGGCGGCACAAAAGGTTCGCGCCCAGTCTTCTATTTTCATTTAATTTTGGGAAAAACAAAAACAAAAAAAAAAAATAAATAAAAACATCTGAATTGAAATTGGTAAATACCTCTTTTCTATGACGATAAAGTTAAATTAGAATCAAACGTCCGTTAGACGGGAATCAAATTTCGCCAAGGCGATATAGATTTGTTTTTTAATAAAATTTATTTTCTAATAACGCCGATTCCAATTTTTTTTTCTTTTTGTCATAATAAAATTTCTAATAAAAATCATGTGTGTGTGTGTGTGTGTGTGTTCGTATGTGTTTTGTGTTCGTGTGTTGGTGTATGTGTGAGTGTGATAACGATATATCAATTTATATATATCAAGAACAATTTTTGAAGAAATATCTAACACAAAGTGGAAAACGTTTTCGTGTGACGCGTTTCGTCCCTTAGGACTTCATCAGTATAGACTTGAGACTATTTTTAATCTTTATCCGCATGATTTTCACTTCTACTTCTTTCTCTTACGTTCTTATCACAAAAAGTAACCATCTATCTTGGGAGGCTCTTGGATTATTTATTGCGGGAAATCATTGTCATTATTTATACCATTTAACTGCAAATTATTGTCCCACATCTTCCCTGTTCTTATCACAATATTTCGAATGCTGTATCTTCAGGCATTCGTCTGGTGTTCTCGTTCCTCTACCCATGTCTATGGATAACTGGTCTAGTTCTTATTTTAATACTGCTCAAATATATTGTTCGCCTTATTTGCACTGAGTCTAAGAGCATAAATTCCCGTCCCGGGGATTGAACTCACAATTACTATGTTACCAAATTCCCGAACCAGCATTTAAATTGCCTGTTCCATTGGACAATTCTCTGTAGAGAACTTGGAGCCTTAAACCTAACCTGAATGCCTGCTGATGAGAGCTGCCTATTCTATAAACAAAAACTAGACGAGATATCCCTAGACATGATATTCTAACCTCGTAGATCAAATAAAGTGATCAGTTCGAAATTTCCTGTAGGTTAGCCGAAGAATGAAGGCCGATGTGTACAGACGCTGAGACGTTGTGATAAGAAAAAAAGAGGAGAATAGTCAGCTTGGAAATACTGTAAATAAATTATTTAATTTGATATTTCGAAAGACTATTTTTTCAGGTTTTAATCTCTCATGATATATTGCGTCTATACGATAAACATCAATATTGATTGGTTAATAGAGTTTAATTAAGAAAACATTGATTGCTTAAAACAAAGTGATAGAGAGAAATTGACTGATATAAATAGATAATGATCAGCTTCTAGTAAATAGATAGACAGATCTGAACAGACTAATGTATATAGATAGATAGATAGATAGATAGATAGATAGATAGATAGATAGATAGATAGATAGATCTTACACTGAATAACTGTACAACAACGATATATTTGCAAGGACGCTAACTATCACCCTGGAATTTTAAATAATATACACAAATCCGTACAATTTAGACTTTCAACTAGCTCTAGCAATAAACACGTTTTTGGCAAGCAAAAAAATATGTAGATGCTTTAGAAAAAATAAAACACAAAGTTAAACTAGAATAATTAGATGAAAACAAAACAGATAACAACAACCGTAAAAACCGAAAAATAATTTCGTTTAACCCACCGTTTAACCGCAATGTCAAACTAACATCGGTAGAATGTTTTTCAATTTAATAAATAAACATTTCAACCAGACCCCAATACTGAAAAAAAATCATCCAAACAACATTAAGCTTAACTATAACTGTACAAAAAACCTTGAACAATATATATCGCATCATAATAATATAATATTAAACAAGCATTTAAACAACCCCCATGACGATATCAATATCGAAAACACTTGTAACTGCAGAAAAGACAAGACCTGCCCACTGAATTCCAAATATATGTCGAATGCTAGTATTAGACGTAATGACGAAATTAAATTTTATTTTGGTTTCATTGCAAGCCACTGGAAATCGCTGTATTACCAACACGAAATAACGCTTACCAATATTCAATATTCCAACTACACTGCACTCTCTAAACATTTCTGGGACATTAAGACGGATAACTACATAACATTAGTAAATTGGAATTACAGAGTTTAAGCCAAATCTTCTAGTGGTAAGGGAGATAAATGTGCCTCTTGGAAAAACTTATTATCCTTTAACACATTGGTAACCACAATTTGCGGAACAGACGAAGTGAACTTATGAACACGTGCATTCATAGAAATTTTTTTTTTATATATATATTTCAATTCTGGTCAAAATAATTCACCTAACAACCTTTTTTTGTTATTGTTCTTAACTCTTCGGTAATTTCATATTTTATTTCTTCTCCAAAAATATACCGTAATGTCTCTATATTACTTCCCCTACTTACTATGTCTATAATTATAAATTTAGTCTCCATTTATCTGACTATATTTCTGAGATGAGGTATATTATGTACATTATTTACATTATTCGGAACATTGTCCTCATCTTTGTCGCCTATTTATTGCAAGGTTTCGATCGCTGTACGTTACGGCCGTCTTCAGGTGGTTGGAATATCAAACTTAACCCTTTATTTCGCTCACTGGGGTAGACTGTTCTAGTTCCACGTACCATGTTTAATGGATGTTAGTTATCAGTTATCTCCTGTTAATTTCCCTCTGAAAGTTCTCCGTTGCCTTAACCTGGTGCACATAGTACATTGGATAAAGGCGTTGGTTAGATCCAGTGACAGGATCCAAAGAGTGTGAGTTCAATACCCGGTTAAGGCTGTGGAGAAATTTCAGAGGGAAATTAACAGTTATTCTCCTTTATTTCTATAATTATTTATTTATTTATATTTTTCTCATCATTACATCTATGAATATTTAATACTATTTTTATATTTTTATAATTAGTTTTGACCATTGGTTAAGACAATTTTACTTTTTATACTGATTTATTTAAATAAAGTTACCCCACTTGAATCGCTATCGCCTGAAGTTTTTCTTAAATATTTTTTATTTTTAATTTATTTTATTGCTTCTTTTTTATCCCCGTGTAATTTTTTAATTTAAATCCAGAGCTATACCACAATATTAAATTCTAACTATATAATTATTAAACGTAGAATTAACATCCTATAGAACGTTGCTTTCACGAAACCCAGATTTTTTTTTTTAAATGTTGACAATCCTAACGAACAGTTCATCACCATTATGAAGTACCTGATGATTGTACTGAACAAAAAACTCCGAGTCGTACTTTCGACGTAAGGTAATATGTATATTTATTAATTATTAATATGCACTTTATAGTTTTGTATTGCCACACTGTGTTGGGCACTGTTTTGTTAACACCAAAAATGAAATAAAATATTTATTTGTAACTTTATATATGCGCGTGATCACAAGCATCTATAGTTGCTTGCATCTATATTTATTTATTTAATTCATAGTTACACACACACACACACACACACACACACACACACACACACACACACACACATATACATATATATATATATATATATATACACAGATATGATTAGACTGACATACTGAGATAGGGATAAATATATAGATAAATTGAAAGATAGTATCAAATTATGAATCAACTCTTGATCAATGCTCAACTCTTTACTATTGAACAATGTTTATAGAAAAGGTCAACACCCCAAATCAAAAATGAGTTTTATTTATTTTAAACAAGTAATGAAATTAATTAAAATTTTTGAGTTTAAAGTTTTCAAGATAACAGTGTGCGGTTGTGGGCGAAGAATTATGGCGAAGGTGAAGCTGTGATTCACTAAAGAAGAAACAATGAAGAAGGGATAGACAGTGAAAAGTAATAAAAAAACGAAAAAAAACAACAATGAACCTGAAAAGATTAAAAAAGGGGGTGAAAGACTCAGTAAAATACGAGTTGTTGAAGTGGAAGGACGGACGTTGTAGGTGGGTCTATAATTTTTGGACAGTATGCAGTTGTTAGCCTTGTTTGTTGAAAGACGCTGTCGTAGGCTATTTAGAGGTCATAAAAGGACAATAAGTGACAAATCGCAGACAAGGCGTATCGCACGTGTCATACGATTCCGCTTGGCTGGATATCGAATCAAGGGAGGTGGGACTAAACAAAAAAAATGGATGTCTTAATTTGATGATTACTTGTGCGTTGTCGATTATTTTTTTTTATTCATTTTCTCAGTGTTTATGAGAAATTTGACATGTATTTATTTATACCGACTCATCTACGAAGGACATTGCCGATCAAGCAAGGCTGAAGAGTGACTTTCAGCAAATTCCTTCTTGCCATAGATTCTCGAAATTTCATATCTACTCAGGTTTGTATCCAGAAACAAACAAAGCAATTTCTAAAGAATTCGTGGATTTTTGTTTATTAATCCGACAAATTTTTAACACTTAGCCGTTATTGTTAAAGAAGCTCCATCGTAAGCAGGAAACAAACGATAAACCTTTACTCCTGCTCAAAAGACCAGGGAGGAGTGTGAACAAAACAATGGACAAACCTATCTGCTCTTCTTGAGGAAGTCCAGGGCATGGCCATAAATTACATTCATCAACAAGGTCTCTAATCAGGAGATTAGAGATTTTGAGGAGGATGGAACCATCAATTAACTGCGGTTGTTCCCAGGTCCACCCTGACCCCGGGTTGGTAGCACCTGTTAGGATCCCAGCTCTTGGAAAAGAGAAACCGCCACCAAACAATAACAAAACATGAAATTATAAAAATAGATTTTTATATAAAAAATACAAACAATATATATTCATTGTAAAATTACCAACAATACCTATTTATTGTATATATTTAATTGAAGCCATAAAATTGCGTCCAAAATATTTAGATTTCTGCATTAAATAAAAAATATATGTCGATATGCCGTTAAACAAAATCAATCAATCAACCTACTGAGGAAAAATAAAAATAAATAACTTCAGAGTTTATGTGAATATGTTAGAATACAGAGTTTAAGTAAACCTTAGAAGGATCTGGAAGCCCAATTCTAAACAGGAAACATGGGATAAGTTTCTATTCCTGTCCAAAAGACCAAGGAGGTGTGTGAACCAGACGATATCTTCTCTTTAATTCGAGAATGAAGTACTACCAGTTCTTGCCTGAAATATTAGTACGAGAATATCCGTATTGTTTCTAATACATCATTCGAGCTAGTGTGCTCTCCTACCTTCCTCAGATGTCATATTCGACATTCTTAAAATACCACATCGAAACCCGTGATGTTTTGGCAGATTTTTCACGATATTTCTTTTGGTCATAACCAAGTTACTAAGATTACTGCTATACTTGATTTTAAAGAAACATTAAGCAATAAAGACATTGCAAGTACAGCAAGAATGACTATCGCTCGGATCTTTTCATTGTTTATATTGCAAAGCCTGACAGCCGAGAAAAAAAACAATAATGTTGGGAACATCTTGAAAGTGTCGAATGTGTCATCTGCGTAAGCTCAACAAACGGAAGGCCATGATAAAAACAATAAAGTTAAGAAGACGTCATAAAATAAAATCAAATATTAATGAAGTTTCTTTTATAATGGCATCCTTGGACAAAAAGTTAAAATATCAGAGATCAAATGATAGTATGCTAGTTATTTTCTTCTGTTTATTTTCACAGAAATATTAGCAGAAGCAGATACTAAGAAGGAAAATAAAGTCGAATAAAACAAATTTCCCTCTACATAACTTTGTCACCATCAGTAACTGTGAAAGTTCACAGAGATTTTCCGTTACTAGCTTGACAGATGTGCAGTGTCGCTCAAAATGTGATATCGTTGTCGCCAATGCAGAAACTTACTGCCCAGAGTCTATGATTACATCCACTTTTTGGTCTCTGTTTCATAAAGGACGCTGAATGTGAATGGGCACAATTTACAGCATGAGAAATTCGAGGTTACACCTATGCTTCGTACAAACCTTCCTGTTAGATAACATTTTGACAAACTGCCATTGTTCTCTTCAACAAGGCAAAAAGAATATTATGGTTACTGGTGAGAAGTTTCTCCCTCAATTGTTATGCAATTAACATCCTTCTGTGATGTTATATGTTTTGTTCTTAATGTTTTGATTAAATTTGGGGGCTTATATTTCACTATTCCAAAACATCTTCGCATTTCTGTGTCACGTTTTCCGTCTTCTGTTAAAACACTTCACAGGGGGGTAAAATTCCGTACTTGCTCAGTTTTGACATTTCCAATTCGAAACTCACATCTTTATATATTCCTCTTGCTAAAAATATTATGTCATTTTACAAATGATGGTTAGTCCTTTCTTCGCACACTCCTTTGCTACATTGTCTTGGAGTTGCTACGATTTCTGTTCTGTGTCTGTCATCAACACGCTGCCATTTGCATATATTATGTTGTTAAATGGCTTCTAGCCATTTGCATATATTAAAGATTAAAAAAAAAATCCGAAGAGAAGACACATCCTTGTCTTAGGTTCTCTTCTGATTAGGCGTCCAAATCATTTCTATCCGTAGGCAAAAGAGGTTTGCCTACAGAAAAGATTTGCGATTATTCTTATATATTTTCCAAATAATTCAAGAGTTGTTAGCACTTTAAATAGGACATTTACTTATTCGCAGCAAACATTAAAAAGATTATCTAACAAAAACCTCCGTAGATGAGAATACATCCTTGTCTTGGTACAATTTCAATTCTTCTGATTCAAGGAAGGCGTCCAGTGAATATAGGTACATTTCATTATCCTAAAAAGTAAGAACAAAACACCTACGATTAAATGGGTTTGTTACCTACTTAATGAAAAATTTGAAAAGATTTAAAAACAAGGCTGATCTCTTAAATCAAAGATATGAATTATTCGTTATAAATTTAATATTTCCTTTAAAATAATGATATGTCGCTGTATTTTTAATAGATTAGTATTTTATTGCATAATGGTAGCATAGTGTTATCAGTGTTGGTGTAAATATATATTAAATGTGTTGGTTAGGACATTTATTTATGGTTTTTTTTTTTTTTTTTTTTTCATGTGAGGGTGTATGTGGGGTATGTATGTATGTATATATATGAGAGTGTGTGTGTATAAATATCAAATGATAGATTTGAGAGAAAACCTAATAAAACCTCCTATATATGTATGTGTGTATGGGTGTGTGTATATATGTATGTAGTTTGTATGTGTACATAACTATTAGATATATATATATATAGGTTTGTATATATATATATATATATATATATATATATATATATATATATATATATATATATATATATATATATATATATATATATATATATATATATATATATATATATATATATATATATATATATATATATGAGTATGTACAGGTATGTATATGATTAAATCACGACAGTATAATGGTTAGCCAGCATGGTTCACTAGATTGGGTGCGACTGAGTAATGAGTTCGTTTACGGACACACACAATATATTTGTATATATATATAGTGTAGTATGTTGTATATATATATATATATATATATATGTGTATATATATCTGTACTATTTTATTGTGTATGTGTATTTATATTTAAGTATATTTCTGTTTGTATGAATGTGTTTATATATTTGTATGTTAGACTATATGTATATTGCTGTGTGTTGGTGTTTGAAGGTATATTTATGTATCTATATGTTAGTTCGTTTATATATGAAAAGTTGTTGTATTTTTATGTATGCATGTATATATGGGTGGTTGTTAATAGATATATTTATGGATATATATATATGTTTATTTGTAGATATGTATGTATGTGTGTATATATATTTATGTATGTTTGTGTATGTATATATATAGGTGTGTGTGTTGGAACCTATTATGAGAGTTTGTGTGTATGTGTAGGTATGGAAACTTTGGTATATCATGACTGTTTTTTATATATCTAAGTATGTGTGCATAAAAGTCTATGTGTGTATATATGTGTGTGTAGATGTTTATATGTATATGTACGTACATATGTACTTGTTATCATAGATATGTATATGTACGTATATGTTTATGTTTATATATTTATTTGTACGTATATGTATGTATGAATATATATATATATATTTTTTTTTTTTTTTTTATGTGTGTTAATTTGTTTTTTGCTGCCTATATATATATATATATATATGCCATGGATTTCTTTATCCTGTTTTTCTTTGCCAAATATATAATGAAACTATTATCAACTTATATGATTAATAATATATATATATTTTTATTGATATTTATTGTTTTAGAGTTTTCGTTTTAATATATTAAATAATATTATTTTAAACATTTTTATCCTCGTTATAATTCAATAAGTGGTTAGCATTTATTTAAGGCGGATTTCTCAATGTAATGGATGTATGTTTGTGTATATATCGGTATCTATGTGTATGTAGAGTGTATTCACATTTAACTGTGTGTGTGTATAAGTGAACAATTAGTTGTTCGACTTTTTTTTTTTTTTTTTTAAGTGTGTGTGTATATATTTGTGTGTGTGTGTGTGTGTGTGTGTGTATGTATCTAATTATGTCTGGATGCGTATGTATTATAATCTGATTGTGTTTTTGTTGTGTCACGCGTGAGTTAAGACCATATTCACAAACTTTAAAATTGTGGAAAGAAAAAAATATACATGTATTATCAGATGACCGGCGAATTATAGCTTTTCGTTTGTCAGACGTAATTTCAATTGAATTGAATAAACATATATATTTTTTTCTTTTCTCAATAATTTTGTAGTTTTTAAACTTAATAGTGATTAAATTTGGATTTTAAAATTGCCAGTTTTTTAATTTTAATATTAAATTTTATCATATAAATTTATAATTATTAGTTAGTAAAATTTTTTTTAATATTACACGTATTTAAAGATCTAAATAGCTATAATAGCAGGATCAAGCTTTTGAATCTTTCTGTACTTCGTTTTGATTGGTTATTCTAGCTTTTGTAACAATGCTCCCCCTAGTGTAGGATCGTTAATTCATCTGAAACTTTTTAAAACCATTTAAAATCACTTGATAAGACACAGAGTGTGTTGAAACAAAATCTATTTTTGTAGTGATTTTATTAATTATATAGATAGATTTTTTTTGAATGTAACCTTAGTGAATGAACTTTCTGTTTTACATCCAGTTTACGCTTGGAAAAGAAATTTCGGTTAGAAGAAAATATGCGTTAAACCGCTTGGAAAACAGGAATCGAATAGATAAAATATGGAAAGTAAAACCTCTATTTTTTTTAATTAAAGAGTTATTAATTACCATAAATGAACGAGAAATTTCGTAGAAAATATGCGTTACCCATGAAAAATAATTTTAAAATTTTGGGGCTGGTTCTTTACAGCAAAACAAAGAAAAAAAACAAAAAAAATAAAAAACGAATGCCACAGAAAATGAGAAATGTTTTGGAAGTAAAACTCTAAAGAAAATAATGAAAGCTAGAATTGCTGTTTTTGAAATTAGTGCAATAGGATCAATTGAACCAAATAAATCTTTTCTGGATTGGTAATAGCCAATCTGTAATATTTTGTAAACGTAAGGCTGCCTATTTGATTCATGTTTTCTTCTATTTCAAAAGTTTCAGTTTTAACAGACATCAGAGTCCACTTCTGGTTTTGAGAAATACATTTCCAAGCCTAACATGTTTACCTCTTCCTGCCACCTTTCAGCATGGTCGATTCTAACTTCCCGGGCTAACATTCTCCGCTGATATGATATAGAAAGATTATATTGACTATATTGCTAGGTCTGCTCCTAAGAAAATTGACAATTGTTTTGTCCTGAATATGTCTTACATATCTATAAGTCTACCATTCATACAAGCTTTGAATATTGCTGCCACATACGGTTCAGTAATCCTTTAGAAATTCTTGGGAAAATCCAAAAAAGAATCTGCAATTTTATTGGTCCTGACCTGGAATCTCGGCTCTCAGTTACTTTCTCATCGCTCTAATGTAGCATCCTTTTCTATAGATATTTTCATGGTAATTCTTTAACGGAACTCTTCCCTATGGAACCTAGACTTTATGAATGTAAGCGCAAAGCCAGATTGTCTGTAAGGAATTCACAGTTGCATTTGCTACATGAAACCGCAAGTTCTGTGCTAAAAGTTTCTTCTGTCGCACTTCTCGCTTTTGTTTGAAAGGAAAAACTTTAGTTGTAAGGAAATTTCAGGTTTTGATTATGCAGATGATTGGTTTACTTAATATATTAGCAACTGAATATGCTTTCAAGGAATAGCGTGAAAAAAGAGTTAGTCTATTTTGCTGCTTATAAAACATTAGACAACTCGCAGTTTTGAAGGAAGAAATCGGAAAAAAGTTTTTTTCCTTGTACTTCATAGCAATGTATATATATATATATATATATATAGAGAGAGAGAGAGATAGATAGATAGATAGATAGATAGATAGATAGATAGATAGAAACATATTGCAATAGATAGATAGAAATATATTGCAATAGATAGATAGATACTGCGATAGACAGATATAAATATATTGCGATTGATAGATAGATTGATATAAATATATTGCTATAGATAGATAGATAGAAAGATAGACAGACAGACAGACAGACAGACAGACGATAAAAGTAAATGCACAAATATGTAAAGCTAAAGGCGAATTTCCCATAAATCAACGTCGTGTTTATCTACTTAACAATATAGAGATCTAATCTTTCGAACTTATTTTAATAATTAAGATGCTTATTACGGCCTCGGAAATAATCGGCTTCCTTTTCATTTGATTTCTTCAAACAGTTAATTGCCTCTTAATTGCGCAGGGCACTGAATCGAAATGGCCCGTAAAGATTGCAAGACAAGTAGGGCCATTCTCCTGAATCTATCCGACTTTGTATCGCTTCCACTTCTGACCGGGATTGGCGCATGTAATTCATTTGTTAAGACAAGTGTGTTTTGCTTTAAGTACTGTCCAAAGTTTCCTCTTATAGCTTTCACTTCTTTGCATTTTCTTAATTTGTTTGATAAGTCAACGAGAACCTAATGGGCTTCAAGAAAATATATCTGATTTATATGTATATATATATGTATATATGTGTGTGTTAAGTGCATTTATTGTGAATGTATGTTAAAAACAGGTTTATATATAGTTTTTTTTTTAATTTTTTTGTTCTGTCCGTATATGTGTGCAAATATTACGCTAAATCACTTGATGAAATACATACGTTTCCTCATTGCTTCCTCTTAGCATGTGTATTATATCTTGTCCAGTTTAGGGCTTCTTGTCGAATGTCAATAGTCTATTTGCATATTCAGCAATAAACATCAAATTAACAAAAGTATCTACATTTTTTTGTTTGAGGACTGTATGTTTTTTTGTTTTCATTCTTGTATTTCTGATCTTTAAGTGACTCTTTAGTTCATTCTGATTATAATTAAATTATTTGATTATTCAAGTAAATATATTCATTTTCTGAAAATTGGTAACCACTTTAGTGTATCCATTACTGTTTAGAAATGAAAGTCAGGCCGACATTTTTAAAACTGTATTTTTAAAATCTAACATTGTTGCACATTCTAATATTATACCATGCCGTATGAAAAATAAACAACTTCGAAACTCTTTCAACCTAAACAGCTTCTTTTATTTTAATCTTAGTTTTTTCTTCTAGAAAATTCATCTTCTTTTTCCTTTCCCTCAGAACATAGGCGTTCATGGCACTCCACAACATCCTCTCCCTTGTAGCTCTTAATAAACTTTCTCTTTCTGTTATTTCTTTTAGACCTGTTCCGCCATACATTTACTCAAGATCATTAAATATGTTATGCGTTTTTTTTTTTGCACTGCCCTTTTGGCCCTCTATCTACCCCGTGAGTATCAGATTTGCCAAGTCCTCCTCATTCATTATCAGCCCTAGAAATCTCAGTTGACTCTTCCTGGTGTTAACTATGAGTTTCCTTTTCGTTTCCATTTTCTCAGGTCTATGATATCGTCAGCATCCTTTTGCAGACCTACATTTTTGTTGCTTCAAGTCTCTTCTTAATCTTTGATGAAATTGTTCAGCATACACTTCCATACATGGGAACGGATTTCACATAGCGGTTTAGTTCTCTTTTCCTAGTTTCTAACGAAATTATTCTATTTCTTAGTACTCTGTTTAATTTTTGGAATGCTTTCTTCGCTATGTCAATACACTTTCGGATTTCGGTGTCACATATTCTGTCGTCTGTTAAAAAAACTTCCCAGATATCTAAATTTCTGCACTTGCTTGATTTTGGCATCTCCGATTTACAATTCACCTTTTGGACTTATCCTTTTGCTAACAAATCTCGCATCTACCAACAATATAGAGATACACGTTGGGACAACTCTTTCAAACTCGCTTGTAATACACAGAAATACAACAGGAAGTCATAAGTTCGATTTTATCAATGCCACCCGAATTAGAAAAGGACATAATTATTTTCACAGGACACTCTTCGCGAGTATTCTGATAGATATTTAAATGCATATATAAACACACTTTATTATTTCAACAACTTTTATAAAACTTCAATTTTTCATCCACGCACAAAAAGCCCGTAAATCATCACAGGAAAACACCAACAGAGATGAAATATGCCTACTTGACATGCACACGGACACAATCGAATAAAAGTTATTCGAATCCAGCATAGAAAAACTAGACTTACGATACACGTACACGCATGAATTATACGCAGTAACGCTGCTTGACGTGAAACATGCAAGTGAGGTCTGCTTAACCAAAGAAAAACAAACAAGGCAAAAACTAAAAATAGCAGAATTTTCTTTCTTTTTTTTTTTTACATATTTCATTCTCTGATGAAGCTTACCCTGAAGATCCATTTAATTGAAACCTAGGTAGGTATTTCCTGGCTCTTTAGGATTCATTTTATTTCCCTTTGCCCTTCTTGGCGCATTGAGCAATCTACGTTCTATCTTAGTTACTTGCTTATGTGTTTTTTTTTTTCTTTGGGCTGGGTATTTCAAGACACTGGACGATTTTTTTTTCGCCCTGTTCGAATGGTTATAGTTTTTTCTTTTCTTTCCAATTTTTCCACGGATATCAATTTGTTTTGATGGCAAATTGTGCCATTCGGTTTTTTTGCCAACCGAGTATAATTATTAGTATAATGCATATATATATATATATATATATATATATATATATATATATATATTAACTGATTTAAAATATTGTTTCTTCGCTACACAGTAATAACCATGTTTCAAAAACTGAATCTAAAAACTTCAAATTTAATTATATAATTAAATTAAAAGCATTAGTTCTGTTTCATCTTCAAGTGAATAATTGAATAACTTATTTTTAAATTTACTGTGTTTTAAACGCACATATAAATTCATAATTTCGTGTTTCCAAGAATACAGAGAAATCCAATCATTCAGACAGGGGCGGTAGCGTGTTCATTTTTATTAAGTATTGTTGCATCAATTATGAGTTACGTTCGAAAAAGAGGTTAAGTTTACGGAGGGTAGGGGTGTATTTTTCAGCGAATTCTGTCATCTGTTAAAAGCATGTCGTCTGGTTTTTATTATTATTAACGACAAAAAGGTTTTCGGCACTTTTTTTTCGGCATTTTTTTCGTACGTTTATACTTAAAGATTCTTTCTAAAAGGGGTGTTTGGGTTAGAATACGTTATATTTAACTACAATTTTAAAATAGTTTTACTCTTAATTACTAATAGACTATATTTCTTTCTAAATCAAGTAAATGCAATAGAATTACTTAAATTATTTAAAATCATTTTTTCATATGAAATATAAGTATGTATATTACCAGCTCCCATTATTTTATTTTTTTTAAATATTATTTAAGGAAAATTTTTGACAATGACGGCAAAGAATAGCTATTTCATTTTTTTGATTCAGTAAATTTGTATTTTTTATAAACTTAGTAATATATAGTTTCTCATGTCTGCACAAGGGACATTAATTATAATAATAAAGCTCTAAAAGATAGTGGCTACAAAAGTCCAAAATTAACTTATATAAAAAAAGAAAAATATTTATATTTGATATGAAAAAATATTGTATCCAAGAGAAAATAAACCTTAACAAAGTTCAGACTCTATAAGAACACCACAATACATTTAATGAGATCAAAACATTATTGATAATGATCTCAAAAATCAGTCTTGTTCATCGCCAAAGAACTTCATGTGTCCGATTGAACTATCGAAACTATGGTGCTTGATAATATTCGATATAAGTCGTCTATACTGAGAAGTGGTTTAATTCATATCTGTTAGTCCTATGTATGACAATAAACTACACCCGGCAGAATAGCTTCTGATCAGGAGATAGAAGGTTTTGAAGAGCAAGGAGCCACAACTTGCTTTTGCTCCCTGGTTCACTTTGACCCGAGCTAGTAGCACCTGTTAGGTTCCCGGCTATGAACATGTGAAACACAAAACAAGACTGTAAATGTATAAAAGTACATTATTATAGTAGAAATGCCAGCAATACATATCCTACAATTTCTTAAAAAAATCAAACTGTATTCGGAAATATAACTTCAACAAAACACACATATCACCGCCTCTAATAATCATGTCCACACAAACATGTCTATGCACAAAAGCTGAGTATCATTTACCAGGAAATCAATTGTGAAAGCAGAATAATATATATCAATTTTATTACTTAAAGTACTCAAGAAAATTAACTCGTGCCATTAAATAACCCATAAGGAGTTGATATAAAGTTAAACTAATTTATCAATCTATTCATATCTTCAATATCACAGAAAAACCGTTTGATCCGTGCCAACTGGACACGTAACAATGTTAAAACCCTTCATGAACGTGACATGTTGTGGTTCTACTTTGATGAGAAAAAACTTTGACCAAGACGAAAAGTCTAACATTAAAAATGGCATGTGGTTATCTGCTGATTTTTCTGGTGTCCCCAGACTGATGTATATTATGTTTCCAGCAACTGTAACCATTTTAGAAATGGTTAACCTCCAGAAAAGTAATTCATTCCGCTTTAATGTTCTCATGTTTTCCACTGACATAAAGTAGAATAATCAGTCTGCTAGGAAAGTTGGTCGTGCTAGACAATATTTCTTGCTAGAATCCACCTTGCACGCTTATAAGTCGACCATTTGTCTGTGCATTGAATATTGATGCCATATCCGGTCCGGTACTTCTCCTATATATCTCGACAAAATTCAAAGAATGTTCTGAAATGTTATCGGTTCTGACCCGTCATCTGTTTTTCGATCACTTTCCCACCAGCATGACGTGGCTTCATTCTGCCTTTTTTTTTATAAATATTTTCATGGCAATTTTTCTGATGAGCTTTTCTTCTTGGTATCTTGACTGCATGAATGTAGCGTACTACTCGATTGGCAATTAGGTCTCATCATTTTACTGTTGAAATAGATATAACCGTAAGTTCTATTCTAATAGTATCTTTTCCGGCACTTCTCACCGGTGGAACTCTCTTCCAGTTTATTGCTTCCCTGCTTTTACAATTTTCAAAAAATGAAACGCAACACCATTTGCCATTTTCAGCCTTCCTTGATCCTGTTCTTTTATTGTCCACTCTTTTCACTAACGTCTTCTTATATTTTTTCACACTCAGTAATCACTTGTTTCATAGTAACATTATCGCTGTACTTGAA